CGGCACGTTTGGGTCAGGGTCTCAGCAGCTTGAGGAAGGACAGGGAAGAGGAGTGGCTAAGGCTGCTCCTGTCTGGCCCAGGGAGAGCTTGTGAAATGTTCCAGGGGATTTGAAATAACTCACTTCGTCGCCGAGGAGCACCCCGACGTTCCTGCACAGTGTGGCTGAGCGTCACGTGCAGGAAACAGCTGGATTCAGACACAGCTTAACCGTCCTGGGGACAGAACCTGTGTCCTCACCCGCCTCCGTGTGACCCTGGTCTGGGCGGGAGGTGGCCTGGGGCTGAGCAGAGCCTGCTTGTGTGGGCGCCTTTCCTGCCGCCGGCTGCGGCCACGACCCCCTGGGTGGCTGTTCCAGGGTGGGTGTCTTTTCCTGATCTCCACTTGGCCCAAGGTGGACCTGTGTGCCCGTGGCCAGGGCTCAGGGCTGCCTCTCCTCTGCAGGGACGCAGCCCTCCCGGTCGTGAGAGAGCAGCGGAACCGCCTCTGTGACCTCCTTGGTGTGCCCAGACCCCAGCTCGTCCCCAAGGTGAGCCCTCTCTCACCTCCCACCACCTTGGGGACGCAGCACTGTGCTGCCCGTCACCCCGAGCCCTCCACTCCAGGGTGTTCAAGTCTTCCACACGGCCCACCCTGCCTGGCCCTGCTGACGTGCTGCCGTGGCCTCCCACAGGACGTCCTGTGTCCTCGTCCAGTCTGAGCCACACAGGCCTGCTGTGGTGGTGCCAGGTCTCAGGGCTCGCCTCTGTGGGGGCCGCCTCCCTGGACGTCTGCCCTTCGGGGTTTCTCGGGCCCCTCCTGGCTCTGCAGTGCTGCGCTGGGCCGCACACCCCGCTCCTGCTCGCTGTGCTCCCCGGCCTGCTGTGGTGCGTCTCCAGGCTCTGCTCCCTGGGGCAGCGGGGCCATGGGAGGTTCCAGGAGGCCCCAGGATCATAAGTTCAAGACCAGCCTGGGAACTTAGGCCCTGTCTTGGAATAAACCGTAAAAAAGGCTGAGGACACGGCTCGTGGCGAAGCAGCCCAGGGCTCAGTCCTAGGACGAAGAAAGCCCAAACCTCTTGGATCCCCTTTCCCAGCCGCGAGGCTGTCTGGCTGGGGGGCTGGGGGCTGAGGTGAGGTCGGCCCTGGCCTGCAGCCTGCGTCTCGGTGTTGCTGGGCGCGGCTGCTGTGTCTCCTGCTCTGGGATCTCTGCGTGGACGGTCCTTCCCACTGCCTCGCCCAGGTGTGGTTTCCACCCTGGCGTCTTCTGCTTCTGAGTTCCCTTGGCCCGCTGCCTGCTCTCCCTCCCAGCCTGACCACCCATGTCCCTGTGCGTCCGTCTGTCCACACTCTGCCATGCCCCGTGGGTCTCCTGAGCAGACCATGCCACTCTGCAACTGGCACCGTCCTGTTTGTTTCCGTTCTTGACTTGGGCTTCACGGGCTCGGGGGCCCTTGGTCTCTGTGGACTCCAGACCTTCACGATTGCTGCACCTGGCAGCTCCATGAAGAGCAGGAGTGGGACCCCCAGGCTGAGACCGATCCTCACCCCAGCGCCCACCTCGCCTCAGCAGTGGGTGCAGGCGCAGAGCTGGTCTCAGCCAGGGCTCTGGCGCCCCCCACAGCAGCGCCAGGCAGTCATCTCAGGTCGCTGACGGCCGAGCCCTGCCACTTGCTTTCAACCGAGCTTTGATTGAGCAGATGGAGTGAGCCTGTGAGCCGGGCGCCTCCACGGGCTGTCTCAGGCCTTCGCTGTCGCGTGCTGTGACCGAGAGCTCCGTGGCCCTGCGACTCCTGCTTTGTCAGCCTGCGTGACCAGGCGTGTCCTTACGGAACCTTGACTTGTGAGGTCCACTACCCCTCATTGTGCAGCCTCCATGTGTTCTTCATCTGGACAGTTAGTTCACGCTCTTCCTCTTCCAGTCCAGCTTAGACGTACCAGCTTAGTCCCGCTGTCCGCCTGCCATCTTGGTTTTCCATTGAACCTTCTGATCTGATGTCTCTCCTCTCGTCTGCGGACCCCCGTGCCCACCTGCACGGTCTCCAGCTCCTCTGTCTGTGCTCAGCCTGGAGACTGGACTCTCCCGACGCGTGGCAGGCTGAAGGGTCACCTGGGTTGTGGCATTGGCAGGCTGCCACCTGACCTGTCTTGTGGCTTCTCTGGACTTGGGTCTCCAGCTGCACAGGACCCTGCTTGGTGTTGGCTGCCCTGGCCGCCAGGCCCTCTCAGCCTCCCTGCTTCCTTCTCAGTGGCCTGTCTCTCTCAACACACTGGTGTTCTCTGTGTTACCCTTGTGGACACTTGTCCCCCATAAGGTCATCTTCCTCCCCTTCCTTCCCCGCTCGGGGCCCCAGCGGGAGCACTCTCAGGCACGCAGTGCCACACGGCCTGGCCTCCAAGTGGGCCTCGCAGGTACACAGGCCGTGCTGTGGCTGGTGCCTCCTGCCTTCTCACGTGCCAAGGCTGAGCCCAGTGCCAGCCTTCTGTGTCGAATGTGCCCTGCTGTTCCCTTCGTGCACACGTCAGCCTGGCCACTGCCTCGCTGTGGTGCAAGGCCATAGCAGCTGTCCTCCAGGGCTCAGGCTCAGGGTCTGGGGAAGTGGCACAGAGCATCTTCCTGTGGGAACCCAGCACAGGAAGTGTCTCCTGCCACCTGTCCTCCAGAGGCCCGGGGTGGACGGGGAGAAGGGGCTGGACAGCCTGACATGGTGTGTCTCTCCTGCAGCCCGGTGCCTGTTGAACCAGTCCTGAGAGCCCTTGGGGCTGTGCAGTGGGGAGGAGCCGCCCATGGCACGTTGCTGCCCATCCACCGAGGGACGGCACCTGGGTCGCTGAAGCCGTCACCAGATGTGCTCTTCACGTGCGGCTGTGCCGGTGGCCTGGCTGCCTGCTTCTGCCTCCATGGAACAAGCCTGCTTCCCATAAAATCATGTACCAAGCCACTCCCCGTCTGTCTGTCTGTCTCTGAAAACGGGGATTGTGTCTCCACCCACAGGGGCTCCCATGCACTCTGGAGACGGGGGCTGCGGCTGCACCCCAGAGGCTCCGTGCACTCTGGAGACGGGGGCTGCGGCTGCACCCCAGAGGCTCCGTGCACTCTGGAGACGGGGGCTGTGGCTGCGGCT